AAAATGGAAAATTTTAACATATTTAGAAGTCTTTACAATTGACAAGTAACAAACAGCCTTATAGCAAGTATTTACTGGAAGGGTTTGGTTTTACAAATATACAATTAATAAAACGTAGGTATGATTATATTCAAATGGGCAGAAGGCAAATGATGTAATGAGTTTCAAGAATATTATTATATGGCTTTATACTAAGAGTGGAATTTTAGGTCTCTCCTCTTTTGGAATTTAAAACATGTAATTTATTTTGATGCATGCTGACCTTTTTAAAAAAGAGGGTTCACCTCCCAAGTCAGATTTCAAAGTCAAATGAGAGAAAAATTATCTACTACTACCAGAAAGCATTGGGCTTTCTTATGCAGAATAACCCCAGTAACTAAGAAAACTGAAAAACAATTATGCTGAACTTGTTTTAAAAAACTACAGAACCATAACTCATTTTCCTTATCTTCTGATAAAATAAACTTCAATTTATTAGAAATCTGGCAACTTATTAAGAACTGTTTTGCTTTTAAAAATTAAAACACCTTCATATAAATACATACATTGAAGCAACTGCTATAAATGAGTGATCAAATAAAAATTAGCATTCCATTTTGGGGAAGGGGTATATTTCTATCAATCTCAGAAGAGTACTTACAAAGAAGAGGTCTACCTCAATATATTTCCCAACACATACTTTACTGTAACAGGCTTATAAATAAAGCCTGTTTTAAAGCAAATCAATTAGGTTGGGGAACAAAAAAGATGGAAAGGCAGGAGAGCAGGAAACCAAATTCCTCAGAAGACATAATTTGTGCCTATTTTTAAAAAAATGCAAATCTAGAATAAAGACCTTCAATTGACATTTTTCAGGCTTATATATTATATTGTTAGGTTCTTTTTTGTGAAAAGTTGAGCTCTGAATCTATTTTCTCTGAATGTTACTACAGCAATAATTTACACAACAAGAAAGAAAAAAAGCTCTAAAGTGAGATTTAATGTATAGGGTTGTGCTTTTCAATTTAAAATAGCCACAAAACCTATAAAGCAAACACTAGAGGGACACCTCAGCAGATTTACTTTCAATTGGTGAAAGAGACAGAAAAGGAAGTGGCCACTTTAAAACTGAAAATATAATTTGCAATTAAAGGAAAGAATTTTGACATGGAACTCAGGTTTTATTCTTATTTTTTGCTAGGTTTATATTTTAGAATGGGTGGGGGAAGCATAATACATTACTTTTCCAGAATCATTTCTATTCCTATTTCTAATTTTCTTCATGACAACATTGAAGCTTGTTAACATCTAATTTTTAAGAAATACAAACAAATTATTTATAGATTTTGTTCCTTCCAAGAAAAATCAGGGTTTTATTTATGTCTAATTAGATTTATAGTTACAACTTCAAATTGTATTTTCAAAGTTTAAAAGCAGCATTTAAAGAATGTTTGGTGTCTTTACTTGCATACATGGGTATAAGAAAAACAACTGTATCTAAGTCTTATCAAATAAATACCCATGTTAACGCGAAACTACTATACAACAGACCATATAATTCTTTCATCAGTTTCTAGAAAAAAAATAAAAGGACTATTAATAAGGCCTGTTAAATCACTACTGTGTAATGAGTGCACTTTGAAAAAGAAATGAGATGTATTGCCTTTCATAAGCAAATATTAATTTTCTTATTTGAAATTAAAAGCTAGGAAACCCAAAATATGATCTAACCAAGCTGATAAGGAATTAAGTGGCTTATGATTTTGAAATCTAATATTCCTATCACAAAAGACACCAAACAAGAACAAAACACAAAATAATGGTGTGTTCATTTTAATTATTCCCCAATGGCTTATATTTTTATCATTACAAAAACATCTTAGAACCACCTAAGAATAAGGTGGAAGGGGAAATTTAACAGTAATTTCAAAGTGATCCAGACTTTTCTGCACTGTAAAGTTTAGATTCTTTTGTTCCTCTCATTCTCAAGCAAAAAAGTCATTAGAATAATTGAAATTTCTAGAGGAAATAGGGAAATAAATACTATGACTTGGCCAACAAAAAATTTAGCCATAAGGGATAGTAAGTAAAAAAAAGGAAGTGTTAACAGAAAAAGTTAATGATTATTAGCTATTTTTAAGCCTCTCTTACAAGGCATGAGTGTTTCTCAAAGCAAATTTACATAGCAATAGGAAATTACATTTCTAAACCAGTAACTGAAATGGTGGTCATGATCATGTATACTGAAGTCCGCAGTGCAATTGACGCCACAGTACTAACAGTATGTACATTCACTTATCCAGCAAATAAGGTCTCCAGCCACAAATTATCCTTTATAGAAAGAATGTGGGTCAAAATAAATTGCAGTCTGCTTTCCCAGCCCCATTTTGTTTTAAGACAAATTATCCAATGCCTGCAAGAATGTTCAAGTCTTTGAACCTGTTGTGTTTTGTTTTTTTTAAAATAAAGGATAAAATTTCAAAATTAGAATAGACTACAAGAGAACACCAATCAATGAAGTGCTACTTGGAATACCTGAATTTAGACTAATCCTCAGCCTGATAGCCACAATACACGTTGGAATAGACAAGAAATTTTGCATGAATTTGATCACTCACATAGGCAGTTATACTTTGAAAACAATATTCCTTGTAAGGATTACGAATAAAATAATGTTTTAGGACACAATTGAATTTGAAATAGGTAATGTTTTGAATAGATTTTTGAGTTTTATTGAAATCTTACATGAACAAGAAATTGGAAATACAATCACATCAAAGAACAAATTGTCACGGCTTTGACGTTTAAGCCAAACAAATTTTGTAGGGCAGATTTCAAAAACGTGTGAGGTTATAACAATTTAAAAACACAGTTAACCTACTTCTAGGAATGCAAAACATACAATCATAGGTTATTTTCAATACAAGAAAACTTAAATTTGTTTGCTTTAATTTCTTAAAACTACTAAGACAAAGCACTAGCTTGTATTTTTATTTACAGCATACTCCATACTCCTATGTATTCTATTCCAAATCCAAAAAAAAAAAAAAAATGAAACTGTCCAAAACCAAAGGTTCTGCAAAATCATGATTTAACAGTGTGCCCAGCTTGTTTTGAAGCTAAAATGAAGCCTGAAACGATAAAAGCATTGTAACCCCCAGAATAAGGGAACTCTGCAAGCCCAATAATGTCCAAGAGCATTTATGAAAAGAGGAAAAATAAAAAGACTTGAGTATATATACACAATAGTGATTTCTTCAGCCCAATACAAATGGCAGCAAATTGCTACTTAAAGATGAAACAGTTAAGCCAATTTTTTTGAAGAATGTAGATCTAGAGCCAATCATATCTTGCCAATATCATTTTCAAGCCCTCACTTGTCTATTTCCACTGTTGCCCATAAGTATCCTGATAAAATTCCTGGTTGTCATTATTGTAACCATAGTTACCAGAATAGTCACCACCTTGCTGAAGCGGCTGCTGAGCGATGGGCTGTGAACCCCAGTTCTGTTGGTTGTTGGTCTGACGACGCTTGGAATCAGGTTGGTTGTACCCATCTGCCTTTCTCTTGCCTCCTACATTGCCCCCACGATTGCCCCGAGATCCACGGGAACCACGGCCTCTCTGCTGTTGTGCAGGACCCCCTCTGCCACCCCTAGAGCCTCTTGGTGGTCCCAAAGGTGCCCCCCTCTGTGAATAGCCAGCTCTACCTCTTGGAGGTGGTGCTCCCCGCCCCCTTGGTGGTGGTGGAGCACCTCGCCCTCCCCTTCCTCCTCCTCTTCCTCTTACTGCATAGCCATCATCATAGCCGTAGTAGGGATCTTCATAGCCTCCACGATAGTCGTGATAATCATAACCATAGTAATCATCATAGTAATCTTCATAGCCATAGTAATCTGGAGGGTAGCCATATCCACCTCTCCCCCCACCACGACCCCGACCTCTAATTGGAGGTGGCATTCGAGGAGGAGGGTGGTAGTAATAATCTTCATACCTAGCAATGGAGGGAAGGGAGAAAAGAAAAAACAAATTAGTTTACTTCAAGATTCTTCCTGATTTTGTTTTATTAACCTGATCTCCGTTACTCCTTGTTCAAAGACATATCTACTAAAATGTAGACTCACGCAGTGCTTCTGGAGGCCTGTCTAGCAGCTTGGCGTTCTTTCCTTTTCTTGTCTGGTGGCTTGGCTAAGACTATTTCAATTTCTTCCCCTTCTATTTCTTTGCCATTCATTTCATCCATAGCCTATACAAAAATCAGAAAAATTAATTTATTTAACAAGTAATAGTACTTTAAAAATACCACACATCATTTAATATACTTAATAGACAATTTACTTCACATTTTAATTTGCAAAAGATCAATCTAGCCTACAATTTAAAAATACACAAAGTACTCATGTCCCCAGACCTTATCTTCTTATATGTAAATTGCACCAAAAACAAAACGGATGTACTGTTATTATATTTAAAAGGTAAAAGAGGGCTGGGCAGGACCACACCCTTAATCCCAGCACTTTGGAGGACTGCTTGAGGCCAGGAGTTCAAGACCATCCTGGGCAACAAGGTGAGACCCTGTCTCCACAAAAAATAAAAACAAAAAAATTTAGCCAGCCATGGTGGCTTAGGCCTGTAGTCCTAGCTACATGGGAGGATCACCTGACCCTAGGAGTCTGAGGTTACAGTGAGCTATGATGGTGCCACTACACACCAGCCTGAGCGACAGAGTGAGACTCTGTCAAAAAAAAAAAAAAAAAAAAGATAGAAGAACTGCCTATTGCTTGCTCCTTAATTCCAAATAACTAACTCCTTAAAGCTTAGCCATATCCAAGAAGCAAATCCACACCAGGGAAAATACCAGTATTAACACAAACCAGACAAAAATTAACTTCTCAGGATTCAAATTTTAACATAAACATGAGGCATTCAACATACAGGTCTTACACTGTTCTTAGGCAAAATTTTCAAGTATTTGAAACATAAATGAGGTTACTGAATGAGTTTTCAGTAAAATTCAACAATATGCTGACACAAAAAGCCTAAGTTGTTCACTGATGCAAAAAGCCAAAGTTCGCTTCACAACACTTAACCTGGAATATACTTTGCCAGAACAGTTAAAAGCACAAAGCCAGGTTGGGCGCAGTGGCTCATGCCTGTAATACTAGCACTTTGGAAGGCTGAGTGGGGAGGATCACTTGAGGTCAGGAGTTCGAGACTAGCCTGAGCAAGAGTGAGACCCATCTCTACAAAAATTAGAAATATCAGCTGGGAG